AGCCAGAGAATCAGTGCGTCGTCGATCTCGTCCGATCGCAACGTGAGTGTGGTGGTGCGGGAAGCGGTGCGTCGCCAGCGAGAGCACCAAGCTGTGACCCGTAGAAGCCGGTGCAGCGAGGAAAATCTGAGAAGCATCTCGGGTTCCTCCTCGATTTTCTCGGTGGCGACGTGAGCCGCGACTTTCTGTTCGGGCAGATCGGCGTCGGACATCACAAAGCCCTCGCTCGGCCACAGAGATCGGTCCTCGCGGAGCCAGGCGGGTCCGGTCCACCACAGGGGGTGGTCCAGCAGTTCTCCTGGAGCGATCCCTCTGGAGGCGCAGTCCGCAGGGTTGTCTTGCCCGGGGACATGTTGCCATTGAGCCTCCGGCAGTGTTACGCAGCTCTCGTTGAGCCGGGTGCACGGCACGTATTTTCTCGTCTTTGGATACAGCTTCGCTAAAGAATGACTTTGCTTCGTGTTTTACAAATTTTTTATTGCTCGTACAAATAAACTTTGGCTCTGCGATATGATCTTTACAAACTTAGATAATGTACTCTCGACAGACCGAGACAGTCCACTGAGACAGACTGACGACGACTGAGCCAATGTACTGACGACAACTGACTGAATGTACTGACGACAACTGACTGACTGTACTGACGAGTGACGACGCCGCATGGCAACGTGGTACTACTGGAGCTAGTGGGTACGAAGCGAGCGCCTCTGGAGAACATGTGGCGACATCCGTTATTACTAGGGGAGCTAGTTCCCTTTGCGCTATATCCTTTGCGCGGCAGCGCCATCATAATAGAATTCAAATCTTAAATCAACAGCCCAAACAGGCAGCTTCTGCTGGATGTGGGCCACGCGGTTCGCCACGTAAGTCTTCCAGCGGGAGGCGTGTCCCCGGATCCAGTGCAGTGTCACCTTTGAATCTGACCAGAGAAAAATGGGTGCTGCGAACAAACGTAACGTTGATCGAGTGTGACACGCGAGAGAAGTGAGCAAGGCGGCGGCAGTGAGTTCGAGGCGCGGTAGTGTCACCAGCTTGACCGGTGCCACCTTGTTTTTCGCGGCTAACAAGTGAAGTGCCACGGAGCCGCCTCGAGTGATGCGGAGATACACGGCCGCGGCGTATCCTCGCTCGGACGCGTCGGCAAAGCCGTGCAGCTCAACCAGCGCGCTCTCGTCTCCGCTGCCAAGCCAGCGGTTCACGCGCAGTTGAGATAGGAGAGGCAGTTCCTCGAGGAAAAGCCTCCAGCAGTCCGCGTCGGCGGAGGGAAGTGGATCGTCCCAATCCAGTCGCTGTAACCACGCGGACTGAATCAGAATTTTCGCGCGAATCACAACGGAAGCCAGCCATCCCAGAGGATCGAAGAGACGTGCGGTTTCCGAGAGAACGCTTCTTTTTGTGAATGATGTGACAGTGCGCGGATGAATCGCGAACGCGAATGTGTCTTCGGTCGGGTGCCACAACAGTCCGAGAGTGGAAAAACTTTCGCTTTCCCACGAGTGCGGTTCGTGGCGAAGTCGGTGCTCGGGAGGAATTCCCGACAACACCTCCTCGTCGTTTGCGGCCCACTTTCGAAGCGGGAACCCGCCCGCCGTGCACAGCCCGCGGAGCTCGGTTTGTTTCGCGATTGCGAGTGACAAAGTGTTCGCGCCCGAGACCACGTCGTCCACGTAAGTGTCCTCGCGCAATGTGATCGCTCCCTGCGGATATCGCGATTGTTCGTCGTGGGCCAGCTGTTTCAGCGTTCGGATGGCCAAGAAGGGCGCGCACGCGAGACCGTACGTCACCGTCAGGAGCCAGAACACGCACACGAGAGCGCGGAGGGTGCAACGCCAGAGTATGCACTGGTATTTCCTGTCGTCCGGGTGGATGAGGATCTGCCGGTACATCTTTTCGATGTCCGTAACGAAGGCGTAGCGGTGCCACCGCCAGCGCATCAGGACATCGGCTAGAGCGGGCAGCAGGTTGGCGCCCACGAGGAGGTATTGGTTCAGCGACTCGCCGGACGTCGTCAGCTGCGACCCGTTGAATACCACCCTGAGCTTGGTGGAGGTGCTCGATTCTCGGAGCACACCATGGTGAGGTAGGTAGCACTCGGGCATGATTTTGTAGTCTGGAGAACCGGAAGCTAACTCCATGTGTTTCAGCTCCTCGTATTCCCGCATGAACTGGCGGTAGAGCCCGCCGAACCGGGGGTCCCTCTCGCATTTCCGCTCCATTGCGGGGTGAGCAGGCGTTCAGCTGGTCGGCGTGTCTCCGACAACTTCGTCGGCTCCTTGGAGAACGGCAATCGGACCACGTACCTCCCCGTCTCCGTGCGAAAGTGCGTTTTCACGTAGAAGTCCTCGCACTTCTGTTCGTCAGGCGTGAGGGCGGCGGGAGCGGAAGGCTCCGCTTCTTGCTCCCAGAAGCGTCGCACAAGATCGGCCAACTCGTGGTCGGCCGTCGCTTGGAAGCTGCCGCGCGTGTGGAGGGCTGAGGCACCGCAGCCACCGGATAGAATCCACCCGAAGGCTGTCTTCTGCGCGATCGGGGCGTGCGGTCCGCCCTTTCGAATGCCCTCTTCGAGGATGGTGGAGCACACTTCTGCTCCGAGAAGTAGCTCAACCGGGTCTCCAGCCGAAAACTGCGCATCGGCTAGAGGCAGCTTTTTGAGATGGGGCCACGTAGCGGGGCTCTTCGTCGCCGAGCCTTGGTAGAGAGAAAGACGGGGCAGCACGAACGCGACGGCGGTAATCGTGGCTCCGGTCGTCACGGACGTAAGGCTCACCGTCACCTTCCCGCGAGTTGACCCTGATTTCGACCCCCTGATTCCGAAAATCGACACGGCGGAGCGAGATCGTTGCAGGTGCAAGCGCTGCAGAGAGATTCGGCGACAATTGAGACCTCAGACCCTTGGTCGATGAGGGCTCGCACAGGGTGAGAGTTTCCATGGCGGTCTGCGATGGTCACTCGCGCGGTTGCGAGGAGGATCGCCTTGCGGTCGTCAGCCGAACGCACGGCGGACAGCGCGCTGACCTCAGTAGACGGCGACGCGGGAACGTAGGCTTCGTGAAGCATCGTGTGATGCCGAGCCTTACAAGTAAAGCAGTTTTTCGACGATTGGCACTTCGCGACGGTGTGATTGCC